TTATTGTTCTGCATATACTGTATTTTATGTAATCACAGTTAGTTGGAGCTGTATCCCAAAAGGAGTCTATGCACATTAGAGGACTGTAGTTAAAACACTTTGAGAAATAAACTTTTGTCTCCTCAAAGATGGAGGAGGCCACCTGGCCTGGGGTGGGCCCTAATTGAAGGTTAAGGCTCTCCTCATTTGCGAGAGCCGTGACTTGGGCCGTGTCTGGAAGGCACTCACCTCAGCGTGCAGCCGCTTCAAATGCTTTGCAAGTTTCCCTCAGGAATGCGTCTGCCAAACCATACTCAAAAAAGAGACGTTTTGCGGCTGCTTTATCAACTTTCTCCAAGTTGTGCAGCTTTATATGGCAGTTTTCATCTAACTCCAGCTGCACCTTGATATTATTATTAAAGCGGACAACCATTATATCAGTGTTATGGTGGTCTTTGTATCCAGCCAGTTTGAACAGTTTTTGGGTGATAAAGTAGGAGCCTCTAAGAACAGTTGGAGAAATCCTACACGGTGCATTGGTGGCTGGTGGTGAGACACAGAACATTCTTGGTCCTCTTGCGGCTCGTCAACCTGGGAAACCTCCTCATGAACAGCAGTCTCTGTCTTTTGAGATGTGCTAGCTTCTTTCCACCTGTCAATTCCAGCGGTGGCATCCTGGCTTACATCATGGACATCACTAACAGTTACCGCTTAGTTATCAGTCGGTGTGAGTTCTGGTGACTGTTTCAATTCTATCACGAGTGCTGACTGTTCAGCACTATCAGTAGAAGTATCTTCAGGGGATTCTAGAGGCACAAGGTCTTAGGAACTTGTCTGAACCTCAAACTCAACGTTATCCATGAAAACTGACAAATACTGCTGGGGCTCGTCAACCCTTGAAACTCTCCTCAGGAACAGCAGTATCTTTTCTCTTGAGATGTGCTGTCTTCTTTCGATCTTGGCTTTGGCTCCGTAAATTCAAACTAGTTGAGCACTTTGTTAGCCGCTTTTCATTTAGGGGCTTTCATGTCCATGCCTCGGCCCATCCACAATAGTGTATTTAGGAGGAATCTCAGGTTTTATTGTATCAAGGCAAGACATGGAGTTTTCAAATCGGAACGTTGGAAGTTCTCTTCAGCAGACACCAGTGCTTTTTTTCTTCTTTTTCTTGGGGGAAGAGGAAGACGTTGCAGCTGCGATAGAATCTGTTGGGCACAAAGATGTTTAGTTATAGAAGTCGTGGGTCTTTTGGCTTGTGCAATAAAATCACAGACCGTCACACAGTATAGGTGAAAATGGCTTCATGGATTGGGCCATCTCTATGCACCATTACCAACTCTGCTTTCATCCAATGTTTCATCCCCAACTGAAATACCTTGCAAACCTAATTTTTGTAGTTAATGTTCAACTTTTGCGCCATTTTAGACAGTCTATCTTTAAAATGTATCTACTTCAGAATTCCAGTGGGCTTTAAATTTAAAGTTAAACCATATTACACTTTTAGTATACTACTTTCCAAAAAAAAATCTTTTATAATGCAGTATTGGAATTTAAAAGTAATAAAAAATACCCACATTTATCCTGTGCATGTTTAAATAAAATAATTTTAAATGAAATTTATTGTATTTGTACTTTAAAAACACAAATTCCATCAGTTGGTATACGCATTCAATTCAGCTCTAAATCACACCAGCGGTTATCTCGAAGGACTTCATAAAGTTGTCGATTCGCCAAAACCAATCAGAGAATGAAACCATTTAAACACAGGAAATACAACAACAAAAAACCTAGGTCCTGGATCATCACCACTCTCCTTAAATTCTTGTGCAACTCTGTATTTCTCTATATTCTTTACAAACATTTGCAATATCTTCCCATTTATCTTGTGTGTAAAGTAATCATGTAATCATAGATCCAGATGAAAAATCAAACAAAATACGTATATGATATGATATATTATAATTTGGTTATATACGTATTTAATGGTTTTCTTACTGGCAGATCAGTTCAACGTCTCCTACAGACTGCAAGCACAGTGGGATGCTGTTTAGGATTTGGGATGCTGTTCGAAGTATTTACACCTACATCCATTGTTAAAGCTTGTGGATTGAAAGGTGTAATCTCTGAAATGACAGACTTGGAGGACAGATTTTCCACCCACAGACTTTACAACATGAAGTGTAAGCTGGGACCCGACTTGCACACTCTCGGGGCAGGATTGCATAAACATCACTTGAGTGTTTCAGCAGAAATGTGGTGTGTCGATAGGATGGGATGGTAGGAAGACACCATTAGAGTTAGTAGTAGTTGCCGGGATAATACGCCATCCAGTGTAACTGGTTACGCTCCACTTTCAGCATGCTATTTAGTCAATCTCTGTCTCTTTGCGTTGTTAACTATTTTACATTTACAAAAAGCTCTAATTTGTAAAGCATTAACTTAAATTAATTTCTGTATTTTCCCAAATCACAATAGTCACCTCTGGTGGGGCACAGAACCTGGTGGCTGAGTGGATAGCACTCTCGCCTCTCAGAAAGAAGGTCCTGGGTTCGAATCCCGGTTGGACCAGGGCCTTTCTGAGTGGAGTTTGCATGTTCTCCCTGTGTCTGCGTAGGTTTCCTCCGGGTGCTCCGGTTTCTCCTACCACTAAAAATATGTACAATAGGTCTGGCATGTGCCTCCTGTACTGGCGACCCCGCTCCCAAAAATCACAATCGCTTTGAGACTCCGATGTGCAGTGAAAAGGCGGTATATAAATAAATATTACTTACTTATACTTACACAAATAGCATGCACTGATCCACAAGTCCAGGAAGTCCAGGATTTTGAGTCCCACTAGTGCATTTACCAAATAGACAGGGGGACAAAGGTGAATGGCAATGCACAGACTAAGGTAAAAGTCAATGTAGGAGTTCAAAAATGTGTGTTGCACCAATGTGGTTGTAAAGTGCATGTGATGAAAGTGTATTGAATGTATATGTGGGAAAATTATTATTTTTATTTTCTTAACTGGATGTTGTATGCACTGCTGAACAAAATGCCCCTGTTGTCCTTTCTGTAATTTCCTCTATAACGCTGCTTCTTCATTGATCCCCTGGTCTTGTGTAATCCTTTTTAATCCTTCCTTTTATGTTCAGTGCAGACGCAGGTGCGTTGTTATTCTAGACACAGGAATAACAAACTTTGAACACAGGAAATGCTACAAGTGAAATAGCATAATTTTGGGAACATAAAGTATGATTCTTCTCTCACTATGCCTTGAGCTGCTATTGTGTATCTACACTGGAAAATGATTTAATAGTTTTTTTATGACACCTTGACACTACCAGTCCTATCTGGAGGACTCTTACTTTTGGTTTGGAGGGACACACTGTGCCCCATTACTAAAATCTGTTTTTCGAGATGCTTTCTGAGCTTCAGCACATCTGTTCTTGTCTTTGTATTTTAATTCCACACAAATTGGCAGTGGTGATGGCACACATGCTTCACAGCTAAAAGTTTGTGGGTGTGATCCCAGATCATTCCGTGTGAAGTTTACAGGTTCCTCCCTGTGTCTGAGCGAGTCTCCTCCAGGCTAAAATATACTAAAGGATACTTTTATTTTATTTTGTCTATTGTAATTTTTTCTACAAATACACCACCAACAGACACCCAAACAAACAGGTAAAGGACTCCAACAGTCAAATATTTGCTTTTATTGTACCAGTTTAGTTCCAAAGGATGGACTTCAAGGACTTTGAGGGTGAATAAGCATGAATGGTGACAGCGTCATAATTAGAGAACTGCGCTAGTATTCTAAAGTTTACAAGTTTCTAAAATGTATGGTAATTTTATTGTCTAGATTCACAGGATTGCCTTTATTATTCTTGCGGGAAATAAGTTTAACAATAGCACCAGTACACTGAATCCTTGTTTAAAGTGTGATTATTAAACTTCTGATTGTAATTGTATATTCCCTCTTTGGCCTTTTCTCATATTTGTTCCTTGGCTGTCAGCTTCTCACACATGTTTTCTCTTTTCATACATATTCAGAAAATTACTTTTGAGACCAGATGGCAAAGAGCCCACACGGGTCAAAAAGAAGGAGCACAGCATAAAGTGACCTACAGCTTTTGAACTCCAAATGAGTCTCGGGCCCTAGGGTGCTTCACTGAGAACAGCACACACTCCAGGGTTAAAACAGCATGTGTGGAGACCAGAGACTCCACCAGCACCAAACAGTGCTCCAGAGATGTGTGTACAATTACATAATGTCATGTGGCAGAAACAAGTCTCCTTCACATCTGTTGTGGTGCATGAGAGGGTCGTTTTAGTTCCTTCACATTGTTAATTTAATTCAATTTATGTCCATAAATTTTAATTAATATCCATGAATGTCCTTAAATGTCCTGGATCTTCACCCCTGACCCTTCTGCATCGGCAAGAGTCACACTATAGCTGAAGCCTTTCAACAGAAACAAGACTTTCTGTATAAACAGTCAACCAATTCATGTGTTTCAGTTTCATGGAACAATTTCAGGTTCTTCCTTAAAACATTTTTTTTTTTATTGTTTATTACCTAATTTTGTGTTATTCTGAATACTACTGTATGGATACTCTGAGCAACATGTTTCACACCTCAACAATATCTCAATTTGTTGACTTAAAACACCTCCAAGGGCTGTTGTGGACATCTTTGAGTTTTATTAAAACTATAATCCTGCTTTTGGGTCAATAATATGCTTGGAGCACTGTAGTGTACTGAAATGAAATTATATCCGTTGTAATATAGTATTGCAGTAATTATTTTATCTTCAGGGGGTCATGTAATCATCAAGGTTTGTGTGTTATTTATTTCACTCAAAACGTTATGGATGTTTTTTTCTTTTTATTTTCTGTAAAACTTAAAAGTACAGTGAACCAAAAAACATTTTTACTCAACAAGCGCTATTTTTGTTTTACATTTTTTGTTTGTTTTGGTTTTATACCATTTCATGTTACAAATTACATGGTTTTACATAATTTGATATGTCTTCTTTCAGGGCATTAACATTGTGGAGTCCAGTAATGCTGAGCCCCCTCCACGGCCCCCGAGTCCAGCCATGTTCCAGCTGGATATCATCCTAAAGAAAGGGAATAACCTGGCTATCCGAGACCGAACAGGTAGGAAAATGCTCCTTCGTGTTCCATACACTCTTGTCATTCATATTTGTATAATCCACACAGGAGTAAAATGGTCTTTATGCTAATGCTCTCTCAAACACATTTTTCTAAAACTATACTTTTGCTTTGATGTGACTAAATGTCCTCCACAAGTAAATTGTTGCTATGGAACAAGTTAGTCTAACAAGGTGATGTGGCACGTTTTTGTCTGACATGGTAAGTAATTATCACCTGGCTTACAGATACAACGAACCAGGTCCGTAACAACTTTAATAGTGATGGAGTTACAGTACTTGCCCCTACTAATGTTGTTTTTATTGAAATGGCACCATTATACAGTCAAAATCTTTCTTAGGACAATGTTTTTCGAACGTGATGGACATGGAGGACTCATTAGTGGTTGAATGGGGTGCCATGCTGACAGAATGGCTCATCCCTGCTGTATTTTACCTGACTCACCGTCGCTCTAGATAATGAGCATTGTAGTGTGGCTCCCACGGCCTGTCTTTGTGCCAGAGTGCATTCAGACAGCTCATTACAGACGTAATAACGCAAGTCTAAATAAAGTAAAAATAGCAACACAAATATTGCTACTTCAAAGAAACTACAAAGCCAAATATAGCCAAATAGTACAACACAGGATCATGATTATTGTTTACTAGAGTTAGGCTAAGATTTGTCTGTAATATGCCTCAAATAACCACAGATTTGTAAAATAAATGTTACATTAGTGTGTTGATGGCTGAATAAGAGTATGCATTTATTATAGATTATGTAGATCTATTATTTCTTCATTGCTGTACATAACACAATGTATTTTTTTTGTGGTACTTTCACATTTTTTTATGCAAACGGCTGAAAAGTTCCATTTTCTAGGACAACAAAGTCCAAAAAGCAACTGAGACACACACAGTTTTAGGCTTCCTTATTAGAATCTTAAATTATGTATCTTTTGTGAAGAAGGATGTGTGAATCAATGCCTCCAAACAATGTACAGTTATATCTTGTCTCTCCTTCACCTATTTCATCCTCATATCCATAAAACTCACAGAATAAATCTGGGTTGTAGCCTGCTGCAAAAACTGATAGGGAATTTGCTTCAGCATTGTGTCTTTCTGCCCAAAAAGTGTATTAGGAACACAAATCGTGCCAGCTCTTAGAATGATACAATATTGGTTCAAATTTTGGTACCGATCTGGGATACAGTTTAATCTGTATTGTGAATGTGCCCTAAGTGCCCCATGAAGGTGTAAACAACGACTTCCAGAGCAGTGGACTTTGATATAGTAGTATAGAAATGATTCATGTATGCCTTACTCTTAAATCTTCCATCCATTCATTTTCTACCCTTTAATCCATTTCTGGTGTCGTTTGCTTTTTCAAAACATATATTCCACCCAATACACCTATCCCCATCCCCACCACTTACCCTCATATTATTTTATTCCACATTATTTACCTTCATATTATCTCCACTCCCAATCACAATCTATTTTCCTCCCGCTCTCATAGAGAGAGAGATATAGAGTAGAGAGAGAGTAACCACCTAATTACAATCCCACCTTACCCCCCTTCCCTCTCTCACCATACAGACATTATACCTTATTATCCTTATACTATTATTTACAATCCCCATCCCAACTTCACAAACCACAAATCAAAATACCCCAATAACTAACCTCTATATTCTCACCGCTATACACACTTACCGTCCCCACTCCAACACACCCAACCACACCTACCTCCCCCCCCCCACCACACACACTCCAACACAACCCCCCCCCACCCCCCACACCACCCCCCCCCAACCCACCACCACCACAACCAAACAACCCCCCACACCAACACCCACAACAACCACCACCCCACACCCCCCACCACACCCAAACCCCCCACCCCCCCCACCCCAACCCACCCCCACACCCACCCACACCCCCACCCCACCAAACACCCCCCACCCCACCCCCACCCCACCCCCCCCCCCCCCCCACCCCCCCCCCCACCCACACCCAACACCCCACAACCCCACCCCAAAAACAACACACCCCCCCCACCCACACCCACCCACCCACCCCCCCCCACCCACACCCCACCACACCCCCCCCCCCCCCCCCCCCCCCACACCACACCCACACCCCCCAACCACCACCCCCAACCACCACCCCAACCCACCCCACCCCAACCCCCCCACCCACACCCCCCCCCCACCCCCCCCCCCCCCCCCCACCACCCACACCCCCCCCCACCCCCCCCCACCCACCCCACCCCACACCCCACCCCCCCCCACCCCACCCCCCCCCCACACCCCCCCCCACCACCCCCCCCAACCACACACCCCCCCCACCACCACCCACCCCACCACCCCCCACCCCCCCCACCCCCCCACCCAACCCCCCACACCCCCCCCACCCCCACACACCCACCCCCCCCCCCCCCCCCACAACCCCCCCCCCCCCCCACCCCCCCCCCCCCCACCCCCCCCCCACCCCCCCCCCCCACCCCCCACCCCCCCCCCCCCCCCCCCCCCCCCCCCCCCCCCCACCCCCCCCCCCCCACCCACCCACCCCCCCCCCCCCCCCCACCCCCCCCCCCCACACCCCCCCCCCCACCCCCCCCCCCCACCCACCCCCCCCCCACCCCCCCCCACCCACCCCCCCCCCCCACCCCCCCACCCACACCACCACCAACCCCCCCCCCCACCCCCCCCCCCCCCCCCCCCCCCCACCCCCCCCCCCCCCCCCCCCCCCACACCCCCCACCCCACCCCCCCCCCCCCCAACCACCCCCCCCACCCCCCCACCACACCCCCCACCCCCCCCACCCACACCCCCCACCCCACCCCCCACCCCCCCCCCCCCCCCCCCACCCCCCCACCCCCCCCCCCCCCCACCCCCCCCCCCCCCCCACCCCCCCCCCCACCCCCCCCCCCCCACCCACCCCCAACCCCCCCCCCCCACACCCCCCCACCCCACCCCCCCACCCCCCCACCCACCCCCCCCACCCCCCACCCCCCCCCACCCCCCCCCCACCACCCCACCCCCCCCCCCCCCCACCCACCCCCCCCCCCCCCCCCCCACCCCCCCCCCCCCACCCCCACACACCACCCACCCCCCCCCACCCCCCACCCCCCCCCCACACCCCCCACCCCCCACCCCACCCCCCCCACCCCCCCCCCCCCCACCCCCCACCCCACCCCCCCCCCCCCCCCCACCCCCCACCCACCCCCCCCCCCCCCCCCCCCACCCCCCCCCCCCCCACCCCCACCACCCCCCCCCCCCCCCCCCCCCCCCCCCCACCCCCCCCCCCCACCCACCCCCCCCCACCCCCCCCCCCCCCCCCCCCCCCACCCCCCCCCCCCCACCCCCCCCCCCCCACCCCCCCCCCCCACCCAACCCCCCCCACCCCCACCCCACCCCCCCCCCCCCACCCAACCCCCCGCCAACCCCCCCCACCCACAGTAGTCAAACATAACAGCCTTATGAAAATAAAAACACCAAGATCATATACATAGGAACAAGGTTAGTGTATCACAATCAGTTTCAGAGTGAAAGGACTTTACTTTATGCTGAGAATGAGAGCCAAGCTTTGCTCATGAGCGATTTAAGAGGTTTCTTTCATTGTCCATGTTTTGCGTTGTCTATCTCTATACAGTCTGCTTGATTTTCCTCTGATGTTCACTGCAGGACGTTCATTTTCTACTGGCCCTAATGGAGAGAGAACTGATAGCCAGCTGAAGGCCATAGTGTAGAATCAGGTACCCTCATTATGATCGAGATCCATAATCCAATAATTGCTATTAGTTTAGTATTTCCTCTATTCTAATGTTGGTAGGACTAATAATGTGAATTGAACTAACCTAATTTCAGTTCAATCTGTGTATCATTTTAAATTGTAATTAAAAAGGCCTTGCATCACATTTTTAGAACGAGATCACACTCTGGCCCGCTGGGGCTATTATCTGTGAATAATTCAATACTCTCTGTCTGCCCTCTCCTGATGTAGTGCTGTTTATCACAGACAGAACATTCATTATGGTTTGGCAGAATAGACTGGTGACTGTTTAAGAAGATAGTTTCAAGGGTTGTTCAGTGGGTGTTCAAGTGGCAATTCAAGTGGCAATTCAGTCACAATATTCTATAAAAGTCTGCTTTGGTGAGTAAAAAAGTAAAATAGCTAATGTGAGGCTTGTCATGAAGAGGGCTGAGGCATCGTTAGAAAATTGAGTTAACACCTAGTGGGGAATTTCTCATTTTTTGCAAAGCTTGACAGATTATGCCACTCGGAACATGTCTGTTTTGTGTATAATAGGAACAGAATGACTGCAGGCGTCCTGAGGTGAAGTGATGGAAAATGCAGGAATGCAAAAGAGACTATTATTTAATGAACATCAAAGTCAAGGGCAGGAACATAATAAGCCCATGGTAAAAACAAATTCAAAATTCAAAGTCCAACGGAACACAAGGACCAGGAAACTGACAGATAAGGACAAACAAAGACAATGAACCAGCAACAAGGGGAGAGGAGCACAGGTACATATAGACACAGAGAGACACAGATGAAGGATCTTGGGCCTTATTATCTCTCAGAAATGCTTTTATCCTATGAACCTTCCTGGCCCCTGCACTCCTCCAGCAGCAGACTTTTGACCATTCCCAAAGTCAGGACACACACTCACGGCGAGGCATCTTTCCGGTGTAACGCCGAGATACACTGTCTTGAAGAGATGCACTGCCTCAGCGGTTAATGATGTGAAGCATACCAAGATGGCGGACCGTGAATTGCTAAAAGTTGAAATACGAACGAATTAAGACACGAATGTCACTTTTAATGCAATTTGAGGCGAGATGTTGATGGTCCCGTTTTGTCACATGTGGGTTTTAAGAGTCAAAGTTTTGTGCAAAGTTTAGTTTAAGCAGTCAACTGCGCCTGTGAAACCACAAAGCTAATGTTTTCATAGCAGTCCGCGGCTGCTGACGTAGGCTGATGACGCGTCCTGTGGCCACTCTACACTCTTACACTGGTCTGTCGGGTTGATAATGGAAATAATAAATTTCATTAAATACATGTATCGTACTGTATTTAATATGATTAACAATAGTGTGTTTTTGATTGATTTTTTTCCCCATTTTCCATTATCAACCCGACAGACCAGTGTAAGAGTGTAGAGTGGCCACAGGACGCGTCATCAGCCTACGTCAGCAGCCGCGGACTGCTATGAAAACATTAGCTTTGTGGTTTCACAGGCGCAGTTGACTGCTTAAACTAAACTTTGCACGAAACTTTGACTCTTAAAACCCACATGTGACAAAACGGAACCATCAACATCTCGCCTCAAATTGCATTAAAAGTGGCATTCGTGTCTTAATTCGTTCGTATTTCAACTTTTAAAGCAATTCACGGTCCGCCATCTTGGTATGCTTCGGTTGCCGTGAGACGCGCATGCGCAGGTTTGCATTACATCATAAACAGCTGAGGCAGTGCATCTCTTCAAGACAGTGTATCTCGGCGTTACACCGGCACTATACGGCCCCCGTCTCTGGAACAGTCTGCCGGAGGAGCTCAGGGCCGCAGAGAACATTCATATTTTTAAAAGCAGGCTCAAGATACATCTTTTTAGATTAGCTTTTGATTAGTATATATTATTCATTATTTATCTTTTTAGACACATTCGGGGCAACATCGGCTCAGTTGGTAGAGCATTGGCCTTTGAGCCTGAAGGTTGCGAGTTCGAGCCCACCACAAAACTTTTTCCACCAACTCCCATGTCTGCTATTGTTGTGTCCTTGGCAAGACACTTAACCTCTGGGAACACCAGCCACAGTGCGACGGCTACGGCTGTAAAGTGCCAAACTGCTTTTGTGTCCTTAGGCAAGACACTTCCCCACCATTGCCTAGAACGAGTCTTGTGTGTGTGGGAATGGTTGGTGGTGGTTGGAGGGGCCGATGCCACATACTGGTTGCTTCGCTTCTGTCAGTGTGCCCCAGGGCAGCTGTGGCTACAATAGTAGTTTATCACCACCGTGTTTGGAGTGAATGAATAATGACATGTAAAGTGTCTTTGAGTGTCTAAAAAAGCGCTATATAAAACTGATGCGGTTCATTATTATTATTTAATCTATTTGGTTTTTGTCACTTACTATTGTTATTATTAATATTAGGTATTAGGTAACCCATTTTCTTTTAAGTCTCACATTTTAATGTTTTACCTTTTTATTGTATTGTTTTAGTATCCCCAGTGTTTCCTCTGGAGGAGCCTTCTGCACTGGGAGCTCAGGTCTGCTGTGGCTGCGGGGTCTGGCTCTTGGATCTAGTGGGGGCCTCCTCTCTCCTCTGGGCCCTGTGTCATCCCCTGTGGCTGCAGGCGACTCTCTGCTCCTGGTGCATCTGCACCCAGACCTACGTATATGTTTTCATAGTCGCATAAATTTTACTTATCTGATGTGACTTTGTCTGTCTGTGTGTGTGTGTGCGCGCGTGTGTGTATATTTAATAACAAATGTGGTTTTGGGTGGGATTGTTTTTAACCAAACTGTAAAGCCCTTTGTGTTGCATTTTTTGTATGAAAAGCGCTTTATAAATAAAATGTGATTGAGTGATTGATTTAAACACATTGGGTTAGGGTTAGACAATCAACAGGGGAACTTAAGTAAAAATAAAACCAAGTACCTGGTCGTACCACACCATAGTACAAATTACATTTCGTACTAAGGTCTGGAGATGCTCCATTGAGCTCCATTGACAGGTGGGGGGGTTAATTCCTTTTGCGGATTGAAACGATTGGATCTGAGTTTACCATGACGTATGTAATGCGCCCGAGTGAGTCGTTAGCATTTAGCCTACGAGGCGCTAACAGAGCCCGTGAAAAGTAGCGCCACAATCTTTGCCAGCAGTTACATTCGCTAAACATTCCTCTTGCTCCGGCTTCAATTTCTTGATAGAACCAGACCGGATTACTTTACTATCGCATTCTTCGCCATTGCTTAACTACAACCTCCCCGTTCGATGCAAACTCTTGACGTCACCGACAACTAACTACAACACCCGCCTCCCGCGCTCACTGATTGGTCGAATGGAATTCAACCGATTGTAATCGCAAACACAGGGACTAGACCCAGACGTTATATGCAGGGTAATGATGATTGAGTGGAGTATACGGATGGCGAAGGCCAGGCTATGACAGCAGGGCTGGAGTAAGTTATTGGATTGCAACTAGTGTTGGGCAGATGAAGCCCCGTTACACACCAGATTGTATCAAATGAGCCTCTGAGCTCATACTAGGTTGTAACACTGGTGGACACATTCTCTGTCTCCTCACTACCCAACATTGTGAATTGATGCATCATTTATACTGTAGCTAGTGAAGAAGATGACAAAGTTAGCACCTATCCACTACAGTCAGTGCTATCCATTAAAAGCTGTGAAACTAAGGAGGCGCATCAAAACCATAGACTGTAACGCTCTGAACCAACGTGAAGCTGGGAAACTCATTGCGCCTATGTAACGCTTCGACACGCCAACACAATTGATACACAAAGCGAAGCAGTGACTGCAGAGTCTGCGCCACTGACACTGACACGTTTGTCAGGTGACTGACTTGTTTTGATACATAGTGTGTTTCAAAGCAGGTTGCTTCAAGTGTCGTGTTGTTTTCCCATCACTAATTCCAACTAATCGATTTTTGAACTGTAGTCATCGATTAATTGTTTTTTGAGTCCCACATGGAGTTAATGATGGTGAGAGGTATGTTGAATGAAGAATGAAATAAAAATATGTTTACATTATATGTTTAATTAACCTTTTTTTTTTTATTATTCAACAACAACAACAATGTGCATTTCTATGAATATGTTCTTGAGCTTTGTTTTGGTCAAGAGTTAAAAATATCCCCTATTCATTAACCTTTTGGGATCTAAACAACTAATTGATTAATCAACAGATTAATAGTAAACAACAATTGGTTACCATTAATTATGTCATTAATAAATCATTAATTATAAAAACAATTTATAATAATTGTTAATGGTAACACTTTTTAACATTACTCCAGTGAATTTGACAGTAATATGTTCAAACTGTACACCAACAACAGAGTGTTGTTTCAGTGAGTATCATTTTCAGTTGATGACATTTTGTACCTTTATGGCATATTAATGTTCTGCCTTTTTCTTCATTTTGTGCAGTCTAACTTACTGTGGAATTTTTTATAAGTGTTATTCCCCAAAGTGAGTCAGTGTTTCAGCGTTTTCTGTGACTATTTATTGTATACTTAAATATACTCATTTTATCAGCAACTTGGCTGGATTTTTCTACACTAAAGTTCAACATTGACACAGCTTGTGACAGATTTGTCTCCAAACTGTAATTTGTACTTTTGCAGTTTTTTCCATAACAGTCTGAAAGTGCCTTGGACAAATTAAAAGTAAGGAAAGAAGAAGAAAAAGGAAGAAGTAAGGAAACAGAACATCTCAA